AAGGATTATGTTTGTTAATCTTACATCATTGCCTTTTCTCTTTTACTTTCCTTTTTAGTTTTAATTTAGGATTCCCTAATTTTAATGTTCATACAAGAGATTTCTTTAACTGAAATACAGAATAGTTTCTCTGGTGTGAAAAGCTATAATAGTACACAGGATCCTAATAAGATAATTAATAATGTGAAATAGGAAGTAAGGGCTAAAGGTGTGAGGAAAGTGGGAAGGGTGGGGGAAAGGCAATAAGGGAGAGAAAAAAAATATGAGAAATTGAAAAACTGGAAATAAAGTGTTTGTAAATGGGGAGGGGAGGAGGGGATGAAGGGAGGGCAGGGACAAGGGGAAAAATTAGAATCAAAACCTGTCTTGTAAAGGTACAGGATTCCAATAATGAATGTAACTGTATTGTACACCTAGATTATACCAATAAACTCAATAAAAAGAAAAAAAATATCAGGGAAGTGGTACTGAACAAAATCATTCAGAGATTTAACACATACATCTTGAAGAAGACCTAATAGCATCGTCTTGGGTGTCAAGCAAGAAAATGGGTAAAAGTTTCTGAAAACCTAACTACCTTTCTCCCCACTGTTCCATACCTCCAACCTACAAGCTCAGAAATCTCATCATGGATTAATTTTCCTGTGATGTTGTGAGGTACCACAACAACAGCCTCATTACTGGTGTTCAGAAAGGCCCACGACAAAAAAAATATTGGAGACAATTTGGAGAAATGAAAACCCTGTGCTTGTTGGAAGTCAAAATGTTACAGTCACTGTAGAAGTGATTCTGAAAATTTCCTCAAAATCTTAAACAGAATTAGGACCTAATGATACCACTAGCAGGTATATACTGAATAGGAAGGAAGATATGCCACATATAAAATATGAATGAAAGATCAGAGCAATATCATTAATAATAAGCAAAAAGCAGAGACAAAACAAATATCCATTAATTGACAAATTTATTTACAAATGGTAAAGAAAACATGGCACATCCATACACTGGACTATTATTTATCCATAAAAAGGACCAATGAACTGATTCATTCTGCAATGTGAATGAACAATGAAAACATAAATTTAAATGAAAGTGTGCACATAAGAAAGACTACATTATTTCATTTACTTTAAATAATGAGGCCAAATAATAGAAGAGAGAGATTATTGCTTTACAGGGTTTGGAGAGGGAAAAATGAAATGCACATATACTTTTAGTAGGGTAATTGCTGTGAAAGTACCAAATAGTTTCTCTGGTGTGAAAAACTAAAAGTGTAAATAAAGATCAAAATGTATAATTTCTAATGTGAAATAGGAAGAAAAGATCTAAAGGAGTAGGGAAAGTGGGAGGGATGGGAAATGGAAAAAGGGAAATGAAAAATATGAGAAAAGGAAAAATGAAAACAAAGTTTTTGTAAATAGGGAAGGGTGGAAGGGGTGAAGGGATAGCAGGGGAATGGGGAAAAAATAAGAACCAAGATACATCATGTAAAGGTACAAGATCCCAATGATGAATGCAATTATATTGTATACCTAAAATGCACCAATAAAGTCAATGGAAAAAAGTTATTATGGAATGAGATCATGCTGATAGGTACATAAATGTAGGACTGTCCTAAAACCTCCTGAATTATATGATCTAAAATAGTGAACATTATGATACATAAATTATATTCCAATTAAAGGGAGATCCACAGAATAAGCAGCCCCCAAACCATAGGATCTGGGGAGCAGTGAGTTATACAACCCTATCCCTCCCACAGACACCCTCAGGGTACAGAGTATATGAAGAAAATCACAGAAGGAAAAGTAGCAAGGGAACACTTTCTCCAGAGATTGGTGAAATGCATATTCAGTATCTCTTTGTTCTAGAATTAGCTATTTTCTTAGTTATACAGAATGCTAGAAAAGTGCGTAGGATAAACAAGAACTTTTGTGTCTAGTTTTATTACTGTGGCATTATTTTATACCTCTTCTGGTTATTCTTTTCTTCTGGGTGTTTAACATCAAGTTAAAGTGAGACCTGTGCCAATCAACATGAACCTCTTGCTATCTATCAAGGTGAGTTAATTCTCTTCAGGCATTGTTTTGGAACCATGCATAGAACCTCTCAGCTCCTGTCAGTGTCAACTATCAGGATGGGTCATGGCCTTGCTTGACCATGCTGCTTTTAGTGAAAGCATGGGAGAATTTTCCCTCATGGTGACCTTCCTTTGGCACACAGTATATTTGTCCTCTTGTTTCCAGCAATCTCCCAGATCAGCAGGTTGAGTGACTTATCAAAGATGTAGGATTCTGTAGAAAAGGTTCCCTCATGTCATGGATTCTTTGTTGACTTTGAGGGGCCAGAGCCACAGTATTGCTATCCTCATAGCCCAGATACCTTTCTACTTTTGTTCTCCAAACTTCAGTTGTTCAACACCCAGTAGAGAAGATCATTGACATTAGTAGTGCAGTAGGAGCAGTGAGTTTAACTATTATAATTTTTTTCTGGATATTAAGCACTTTGAAATATAAAGCATAGTTAGGAGTCTGTTATTTCTTATCAACCATGGTTGTTCTAGTAACTCAATCCCTGTAGAATGTTAACAGACAACAGTTATACATAGGGGCTCCAGTCACTGAACCCTGCTTGCAGTTTTCAGCTCTACCAGTAGCTGACCATGGTTATGGATCACTAGGAAAAAACTGTGGTAAAATCCTTGAGAGCTCAGCTAGAGATTTATATTTCTTAGCAAAATTTGTTCTTCAAATTGTCTCTTATCTTACAGCTAAAACTAAAGAGACTTCTAAAACCAACAGGTTCAATCACTATTTCAATTTCTAAGTGTGACTTTCTCCTAAATCTGCCTTTCCAATCTAGTGTGCTCATGCCTATATTATGCAGACTCTAATTTCTCAAGAGTTTTTTTTATTCTTGCCTAGAGGCTGCCAAACTCCAAGCAGTCATACAAATGGAACCAATGACAAGTGTGCTAGACTTCTTTTGCTAGAATCTACCAGATTGACCTTGTTAACAGCTCATAACTGCTAAACTATACAATATGACTTATCTGTTGGATTCCGAAGTCCCGTGGAACTTCTCCTTATCCTCTTTGTGGGCTATATTCATAGAAATCCTGCTGAACTTATAAATGTTTCTTTGACTTTGTCTCCTCCAGACTTATAAGCTATGCAGCTACCCAGATGACAATGCCAAGCACCTACCCAAGGCCTTTAGATAGACCCTCTGTAGAGTTAACTCCAACTGGTGATCACAACTACAACACTCTTAAACTGGAAGTAGCCAGAGCTGTCTTTGTCCTTTGCCCCCTCACGGCAGTTAGGGATACTTCTTCAGAGGGGGAATATTGCAGATAGGTAAGTTAATTAGATATCTTGTAGGCAGTTAGACAGGGTTGCCCTCCAAGAACCAACACAGCAAGAAGCCAACATAAATAACAACCAAGACACATTCACTGAAGGCCAGAGTTATAAAAGGAGAAACTACTATATCCTTGTGCTTCCCCTGGGGATGAATAGCAGTGACTGATATTCTAAATAGGTATCAATCACCTGGGTTGGGGGCACAAGGTCTGAACCCTGCCTTTCCAGGAAATATCCCTGACCCCCACCCCTACTGAAAATCTTTGTATGCTTGCTATGTGAAGTGCTACCCCATTAACCCCCATTTAGTCAGTATTACCTGGGTGACTGTTCTTGTAATCTTATTGGATGATCCTGATTTTTTCCCCACCTTGTAATTTTCCACTGGGTCTTGTACTTTTGTCCCACTTTGTACCTGCCTCAGCACGTGGCTTTGCTGTATAAAACATGTTTGAGAAGAGGGGTGGGAGGGCAACCCACTTTTTGATCCCCTTTCTGCCTCTCTTAGACAGAAGCTTTCTTTCCCTCAATACATTTTTCCTACACCTAAAAAATAAAATAAAAACTTTCAGCCCTGAAAGCAGCAAATGTAAGCTTGGTGGTTGTTTGGTAAACTATGTATGCCTTAAAAACTATATAACACCTCAAAAAGGAAGATAGCTTCTAATGTTATGAGAATGTATAGAGGGGTGGAGTTTAAGGAAAGGAAGATGGTGTAATTTCAAATACATACTCAGTGGCATTAGAAAAGTACAAAGTGTCCTTCAAGGAAGTCATGAATTATCAGTAATTGAAGATGTAAAATTTGTTTCAACATCAAAAGGCAGTTTAGTGGCAGTTCTTTTCATAAATTTGCATACTCAGAGTGGGGAAGATTAATGTGGTTAATAAATCTAAAGTTTTATTCAAAAAGCCAACTGAAGTGACGCAAGGGGGCCAGAAGAGAGATAAATATGCGGTATCTCACTATCCAAAACACAGAGGCTCATAGGACTCCTGCTGACTTTCATGTGCTCAGAGAACACAGGTAAGGGTTTCTAGCTTCAGCAGCTTAATGATATGAATCACTTATGAGAATAACAATGATGCTGAATTTTATATTAAGCATGAAATTGTGGGTGTCTGATTGTGTCATACTTACTTTGAGAAGGAAAATTTAACATGCCTCTTTTATCCTTTACCTAAATGATTTGTTTCTCTGTGAGCAAATATATTCCTAAAAGCACCTGCAGACTGCCTATCTACCACAGACCCATGTCAGAGAAGTCAGAGATGCCTTTTGAGAGCTGCCTGGAAGTGATCCACAGAGATTTTCCTCCTGGCATTGGTTACAAAGTCTTTGTACCTAAAGCTGGCAAAGACAGTGATGAAGGAAAGATCAAGAAGTTCTGCTAATTTCTCTCAAAAGTATTTTTAAAACAGTGTCTTCATGAAGTTTCTAGTTGGGAGATTAATACATGACATCATGGGAGGCTTGAAAAGTAATACTGATATAAACCATAATCAGTAGATTCAAGGAAACGGGATATGTCATTTTCTTCAAGGAGCTTTTGTGTCACAGTGGTGTCCATCAGTAAGGTTATATTGATGTGAATCTGATGTTTTCTAGGAGCTCCAGGTCACAATAAGGTCACGATGAGTTCCCTCAGTGAAGCAAACATCAAGTTCACTCTTGATCTCTTTCAAGAGTTAAGAAATGCAACAGGCAATATCTTCTTCTCTCCTACCAGCATCACAGCACAATTAGCAATGGTCTACTTAGGGGCCAAAGGGAAAACTGCACAGGAAATAGAGAAGGTGAGTGTCAGAACTATTCTATTTAGAGCTACTACAGCTTTTCTGTAGGCTAGCATGTGCACAGATTTGTGTGTGGATCTGGGGGCCTGATGGGTGGGACAGGATATTGAGCAAGCATTCCTATGACTGTGACCACAGAGCTATGGGACGGAGGAAGCACTCCCCTAATGTTTGCCGTGTTCTTCCCTGTTCCTGATATTATTTGGAATGTGAGTTGACCTACAGTTGTCCAGCAATGAGAGAGGAGCTTAACACTTGAGGACTACTGGCATAGGGATTCCTGGACGTGAATCCAAGGGGTACACCACCAGAGCTCTCCTCAACCATGAGTGGATGGATGGGCAGTCTTTGAAGTGTTTGGTGATAAATCTGCTCTGAGGAGGTTTTTCAAAGAGCATATTTATAATCTGAAATTTGGAGACTTTTTTGTTTCTTTAATATTTTCGTTAATTTTCATTTGTTTTTAAGGTTTTATTCTGAACATCATCCTCTGTTCTGTTCTGAACCTCACTGCCACTGTTGATGGGGGTTGGACCAATTCAATCACATTGAACTATATTTCCTGTATTTCTTGTCATTGCAATTTTTTTCAGTCAGCATATCTGTAATGAGAGCAAGGCTTCTACTTGTGAACTTTCTGCTTCAGTGTCCAAGAGTGTTTACATTATGGGCATGCTCCTAAACTATCCTCTTCTCTGGTTTTATTTCCTCTGATTTAGACAGATCTTTTAAATAATTTTTCTGCTCTCATTTCTTGTCTCTTCCAGGTCCTTCACTTCAGTGAAATCACAGAGAAATCAAAGGAAAAAACTCTAACCAATCAGGTGAGTACCTGAGCACTTTCACTGTAGGACAGCTTATATCTGAGAGGGTCATAATTTAAACTTTGGAATTTTACATGAACTGCCAAAAGGCAGCTTTCACAGAAAAACCCTAAATATGACATAAGAACACAGAGAGTGTATTCACATTTTGTTTACATAATTAACATTCTCAGATTTTTGTTTCAATCAGAGAAAGTCAGCCTTGTATTAACGAAAATGAATCTGAAGCCAAACAGACTGGGCTCAAATTCCAGTTCTGATCCTCCGTGGTGAACATCGGGAACACACAAACGCCCAGCATCGCAGTGACTTCATCCCAGCAAATGGAGTTAGAAAGAATCTGATTCAACTCATGCAAACACTTACAAGCACTGCTGAGTTGTCATATAGAGCTCATAATAAACTTCGTATAATATCAAATGACAATTACCATAAGCATAATAATGTTATTAAAATAACTCAATTTTGATTAACTGTAGAACCAAAAGAAATAAACAAAAGTTGAAGTATATTTTGGAAAATGATGCCTAGCACATGTATTGGTTTAGAGATCTATAGCTATTTCACCCAACCTTAGTCATGAAATTAACAAAACTCTTAGCTGGTGAATAATATCCAGAGTCAAATAGGGTTAGATTCAAAAGATGGCTCCTCTAATTTAATTTCCTAGGAGGATATTTAATTATCTCAGCTTTTTTATTTCCATTTGCTAAGATGTAGATTGACTGTTCTCAGTCCTTACCTGAGTAATAGGTATCCATTAGGCTTATATGCAAGGGCAGGGCCACAAATCAAAATCAATGTCTCTTAGAAGATAAAAAAGGATATCAATCAACAAGGGGTTTGAGAAGGATTCATATTTTCAAGTTATTTAAAATATCTAAACTTCAACATACCTCTATCTTTTTTAGTTAATTAATTTAATTGGTACTTTTAAGCTATACAGTGTAATGACATTTATAATTGGAAATTTGCACCTTTACATAATCCATCTTGGTTTTTATTTTTTCCCCATTCTCCTGCCCTCCCTTCAACTCCCACCCTCCTTCCTGTCCACAAAAACATTGTTTCCATTTTTTCTTTTTTTTAATGTTAATTACATTCCCATCTTTCTTTTCCCCTAACCCTCCCATTTCCCCTTCCCCTTTGAACCTTTTCTTCCTATTTCACATTATCTATAATACCTTTTAGTCCTTATTTACACTTTCAGTTTCTCACACTAGAGAAACTATTTGGTATTTACACATAGGTGTCCTATTTATTTCACTTAACAGTATCGCCTCTATGTGCATGCATTCAGCTATAAATGTCTCTAGTTTCTCATTCTTTATTGACTTGGACTCCATTTTATTTACAAAAAAAAAAAAAACGCACATTTTCTATATCCAGTCTTTTGTTGATGGGCAACAGGGTTGCTTCCAAGTCTTAGCTATCATGAATTGTTCTTCTATGAACATAGGTGCACATATATCCTTGTGGTATGGTTCTTTTAATTTTGGGGGGAAGATACCCAGCAGGGTGATAGCAGGGTCAAATGTGACCTCCATTCTTAGTTCTCTGAGGTATCTCCACACTGATATCCACAGTGGTTGCTCCAGTCTACACTCCCACTACCAGGGGAGCAGTGTTCCTCTTTCCCAACAGCACTGCCAACATTTATTATTGGTTGATTTCATGATAGCAGCCATTCTTTCTGGGGTGAAGTGGGATGTCAGTGTTGTTTTCATTCACATCACGTGAATGACCAGTCATGTTGAGCATTTTTTCATATGTTTATTTGCTACTTCTACTTCGTTGTCTGAGAAATGTCTCTTCATTTAAGATGCCCATTTTTTGGAATGGGTTTTAAATTTGGGAGGTCTGATTTCTTTTTTTTTAATTGAGTTTATTGGCACATTTTAGGTATACAGAACAATTACATTCATCATTGGGATCCTGTACCTTTACATGATAATTCTTGGTTCTCATTTGTCCCCCTATCCTTGCCCTCCCTTCACCCCCTCCTCCCCTCCCCATTTACAAACACTTTATTTCCATTTTTTCATTTTCTCATATTTTTTCCCTCTCCCTTATTACCTTTCCCCCACCCTTCCCACTTTCCCTATACCTTTAATGCTTTACTTCCTATTTCACATTATTAATTAATTATCTCCTTTTGTTTATTCTTTTGAAGAACCAACTCTTGGTTTCATCGATTTTTTTTTTATTGTTCTCTTAGTCTCTGTTGCATTGATTTCTGAACTGATCTTTATAGTTTCCTCCCTTGTATGAACTTTTGGTTTGTCCTGCTCTTCTTTTTCTAGAAGCTTGAGGTTCAGCATCAGGTTGAGTAATTGAGCTCACTCTGTTTTCCTAATATGCATATTCAGTGCTATGAATTTCCCTCACAGGGCTGCTTTCATTGTGTCCCATAGATTCGGATATGTTGTATTGTCATTGTAGGTACTGTCTGATTTCTTCTTAAATTTCCTCTGTGACCCATTGGTTACTCAGAAGTGTGTTGTTCAATTTCCATATATTTATGGAATTCTTTGGTTACTTTTGCTACTGATCTCCAATTTCATCACATTAATGTCTGATCATATGCAGGGGATCACTTCAATTCCTTTGCACTTACTTAAACATGTTCTATGAGCCAGTATGTGGTCTACTTTGGAAAATGATCTATGTGCAGCTGAAAAGAATGTGCATTCTTATTTTGTGTGATAGAACACTCTGTAAATATTTGTTAAGTTCATTTGTTCAAGAGTTTGATTTTATTCTACTGTTTCACTGCTTATTTTTTGTCTGGTTGATCTATCTGTGACAGTGTTGTATTGGGGTCTCCTGCTACTATTATATTAGTGCCTATATGATTTTTCAGGTCCATTAGTATTTGTTCTACAGAGTTGGGTGCACTTGTGTTTGGTGCATATATATTTATGATTGTCACCTCATCCCCTTGGATTGTTCCCTTTACAAGGATGAAGTGTCCATCTTTGTCTCTCTTAATCAATGTTGATTTGAAATCCACTTGATCTGCAAAGAGAATAGCTACTCCTGCTCTTTTGGAGGTTCCTGTGGCATGGAGTATTATTTTTCACCCTTTAACTTTCAGTCTATGAATTTCTTTTTTAATTAAGTGTATTTCTTATATGCAGCATATTGTAGCTTCTTGCTTTTTGACCCATTCTACCAGTCTATTTCTACTGATTGGTGAATGAGGCATTGATGGCTGTAACTGATATGTATTGACTTATCCTTATTATGATGTTTTCTTTTTGTTTTATTCTCCCCCTTTTCAGTTAATTTCTTGTTGTGCTTGATGTAGTCATTCTACTGGATTTTCTGGGGTTGTGGTACTCATTGTCTTTTCCTAGGATATTGTTTAAAGTATTTTGGAGGGCTGGTCTAGTATTCATGAAGTTCCAAAGGTGCTCTTTGTCATGAAGTATCTTATTTCTGCATCAATTTTGAAAGACAGTTTTGCAGGGTACATCAATCTGGGTTGGAGGTTGTTTTCTTTTAGGGCTTGAATATGTCACTACATGTTCTTCTTGCCTCATGGGTTTGTGTTGAGAAGTCTGCTATGATTTTGATAGACTTTCCTTTGTATGTGATTTGCTTCTTTTCTCTATCTGCTTGTAGAATTTTGTTCTTCTGTTGGATTTCTGGAATCTTAAATATTAAAGGCATATGTGTAGACTTTTTTATCATGGCTATTTACAGTCCTATAAGCCTTACTTATATGTATATCAAGTTCTTCTTCCCTACTTGGGAAGCTGTCTGCCATTACTTCTGTGAACAATTTTTTTTTTAATGATATCTGCTCTCCCTCCTGTTTCTTCCTTGACTCCACTCAGTCTTAAGTTATTCTTCTTTAAATCATCTAGCAACTGCTGGATTGCTCTCCTGTGGTCCCTTACTATTTTTAGGAGATTTTTTTCTCTTCTTGTTCATTAATTGCCATCCTATCTTCTATATCTGAAATTCTATCATTACATTGGCTCATTGTGCTGCATAAACTTCAATGGAGTTTTTAATCTCCTGGAAATCTGTTTGCATCTGTTTTATGGATTTCATTTATTTCCTGTGCTGAGATTCCACCGTGTTTCTCAGGTCCTCTCTTTTTTTTTTCTTTTTTTTTTTAATCTGTGTCCACTCAAGATTTACTAATCATGTCTTCTACTATGGGCACAATCTCTCCTGTTGTGAGAGAAATTATTTTTATTTCATTTTTCCAGGTCCACTTTTATTGCCAGTGCAGGGAATCCAGGTGGTTAATTATCAGATTATCCCATCTCATTTCCTTTTGGGGCTGCCTTAGGTAATCTGAAAGTCTGGTTTTGACAATTATTTCAGAGTCTTCTCATTTCAACATATTCAGCCTGCTGTGCCTTTGTTGGGGGAACTTTTTGCTCAACCGGTGGTCTTCAATTTTCAGCAGGCCACCAAGCAGCCTTTACTCTGCTGCCCCACAGTACACCAATTCCTGGGTTTAGAATGGTGGCCATCTATATACCTGTTTTATTGGCAGGCTTCTAGCTGGGGCCTGTGCACACTTATAATGGTATCTCAGTGTGCCTTTCGCTGGGGCTCTTATGGAACTGTTTTCGGTGGAGGGGGGTGTTGCCTGGTGGCTGTGTACCCCAGTTCCTGTTGTCTGTGTAGGCAACTGACTAAGGTCTTTGGGCACTTATCCGTGGTATTGGGGAGAGCTTCTGGCAGTTGCTTGAGCATCTGTGTAGTTCTTTTTTGGGTGGGTCCTTGGCTGTGGCTGATGGTATAATGGGACTCTGGATGAAGCTTGCATGCCTGTGTAGCTCTTTTCTAGGTGGGCTGTGGCTTGGGCATGTGTGCCCACACCTCTGGGTCCAGGAAAGGTGAGGTCCTAGTTGGGACCCGCCTGTAGCAGTACCACTCTGATCCACACAATTGATCCCCGGGATGTGCATGTACTTGTCAATGCTATGGTGGAATTCTGGGTGAAGGTTGCGTAGCTGTGTAGCTCTTTTCTGGGTGGCCTGTGTTTTGGGGATGTGTGCCTGCACCTCTGTGATCAGGGCAGGGCCCTGGCTGGGATCCACCTGCAGCTGTGCCACGCTGGTCCATACAACTGCTCCCCGTGATGTGTACACACTTACCAATGGTGTGGTAGAACACTGGACAAAGGTTGCACACATATGCAGCTCTATTTTAGGTGGCCTGTGGCTTTGGGGTGTGTGCCCACACCACTAGAGTTAGGGCAGGATCTGCCTGCAGTTGGGCCACTCTGGGCCACACAGCTGCTCTCTGCAATGTGTAGGCAATTACCAATGGTGTGGCAGAACTCTGGACAGAGGTTGCCCACCTGTGCAACTCTTTTCTAGGTGGCCTGTGGCTTTGGGAACTGTGCCTGCACCTCAACATAACTGCATCATTGAGGGCTGTTAGAAATGAAATGTACTGTTTGCCCAATAAACATAGAGTTTAGTCTGAAAGATTAAAAACCTAACTATTGCAATCAATGAAAATCCAACATAATGAAATTTTAGTTCAATTAAGAAACAAATAATAGCACTTTATAGCAGGCAGAAAGAATTTCCCAAAAGAAATGGACAGTAAGTTTGATTTATTAAGTTTACATGAAAAAATATCATACATATCATGGAATAAGCAAGAGGTTATCTTTAAGATTACTGACAAATAGGCATTGATCAAACAGACTACACAGGGGTTTAGTATTTAATGAGCTAAATACTAATGCAATGAGCACTCTTTTTAAAGTTGAAGGGTGAAACTTCAGGAAGTTTGCATCTTCAATTTCAAAAGCTTCTGACTGAGTGGAATAAATTAACTGATGCATATGAACTGAAGAGCGCTAACAAGATCTACAAACAAAAGAGTCTCCAATTATTTCAGGTAAATGTCATGTGGCTCTCAACAATTTTCATGTGAACCTTGGGTCCTCTCTCATTCAATGGCGCAATTGGACACAGTGTAGGAAATGATCCTGACTCATTCACATGGACAGCATTTCCCCAGAAAGAACTTGTTGCATCACCCCAACAATACTTTACTGAAGTATTCCAGGATCTGGCAATGCATGGAGAAAATGTGAGTTTGGGAATTATTTAATGAGAAAAGAGTATGTGTGGCTCCAGAGTCAGTCTCGAGATTTCATAATGAGCAAGAATGATTCAATGAGAGAGAACATGGTTCATGAGGAAAATTATAGATAATGTGATAATTCTGGAATAGCCAGCCATGGAAGAATCCCTGAGGAAAAAAATGGGAAGTACCAAAGAATATTTAATTGCTGGGATGGAAGATATAAACCAAATTGAATTTGCTGATGAGGATTCTCAGAAGCAATTCATCTCCTTCAGAGTAACAAGCTTTAACATTTGTGCACCATAGCCTCTTCCTCTGCTGCATTTTGCCAGAATTTTGACTTTCAATGGCCTGGGCTCCCCTTTCACACTGCCTAGATGGCATCCACACAAAAATGTGCGAGAGACAATAGATTTGATCAGGTCTGGATTTAGCTCCCTGAAATCATAAGTATAAATTAAATTTGAAAATGAAGAAATCACTCTTAATTGTTCCTTTCTTCCTTTATATCTCAAAGGAATATTTGGATGACCTTAAGAACTTTTACCTGACCGATGTGGAATCTGTTGATTTTGAAAATGAAACAGAAGAAAGTCGGAAGAAAATTAACACCTGGGTGGAAAAACAAACACATGGTAGATAATGCAAGGGTCACCCATTACAGAAACACTTAAGTACCTGGGAGTCAGTCCTGTGTCCGACACAGCAGGTGTGGTGCTGAGGTGGGGTATTAGGACAGGTTTGCAGAGAGGAGGAGGAGCACTGCAGATGGTGAGATGGCCCAAGTAAATGTGGGAAGTGTAAGGGGAGCCAGGAAGGGAATCCCAGAAAGTCAATTCTATAGACAAGCAGCTGAAGAATGTTTTGCACATGGCCCAGGGTGACAATTTCCTTGTGAATTCCAATCTCTACTCAGCCCATTTTGACATTCCATCCTTTAATGTAAATTCATATGTTAAAGATCTGTATTAGCCGACTTCTGTCACAGTGCCAAAATACCTGACATAAACAACTTAGAGTGGGGATGATTTGTTTTGGCTCATAGTTTGAGAAGTTTCAGTCCAGACTTAGCCAGTCCTATTGTTTTTTAGGTCCATAGTGAGGCAGAAATATCATGGCACAATGTAACAGAGAAAAAGTGCTCACCTTGTGGCACCTATGATGTCAAGAGAAAGAAAGCCAGAGAATTGGGTTAGGAACCAGTAGAGGTCGCATTTCTGTGGTTCACTCCCTTTAACCAGGCCCTACAATCTATATTCCTCACTTCCTAATAATGCTGTTAAATTATGATCTCATCAGTGGATTAACCCATGGAGGAATAGAGTTGTCATTATCCAGTCATTTCCCAAACCCCATCAGGATCTAAATCCCCTGCAGTATAAGACACCTGGGGGAACATAACAGGATTCCAACCACAGCAAGACCTTTAAGATCATTAGATAGGGTTCCTTTTTTTTAATTGGGAACTTCAGGAAAACCACACTTTATGCCAGCTAAGCTGGAACTGCCTGGACCACATCTTCATCCATACCTCCCTCAAGTGTTATCAAAAATAACTTTCCTATGGATGACAGAGAGCTTAGTAAATCTTCCTTCTTGACTACCTACCTTATCTTCTACCTCTCATACAGTCCAAGTATAAGAGAATAAGTAGGACGACACTAAAGGGAGTAGTGTCAGTCAGCACAGCTTCTAGGTTTTACATAATAGAGCTCATGCTACTACTCCTCAATAATGAGGGCCTAGTTCCTCTAAGCAATGTACATAAAATTGGAAAAACTGGAAAGGATAGCTGAGAGAGAGAAATGTGAAAGATAAATTGAAAGAATAGATGAAATCTGTTTTTCAGTACTTTGTGAAATGACTGTAATCACCCAGAGACAGCCTAAAACACATTCCCAACTTAAGCATTGGTATCTGGATCAGAGGTAATTCTGAGGCTGGCACTAGGATGAAGGCTGAAGTTAGTGAACAGGTTTACAAGTCCCTAAAATAGTCACTTAGCTGAATAATTAGTGATAAGTCACAAAGTATCTTTTAGAGAAATAAATTCTACCTTGTTTGACAGACCATTTTCTCTTTTCTTACAGACAAGATCAAGGAAATATTTCCTCAAGGTTCTCTTCACAGTGATGCCAAACTGATTCTGGTGAATGCAGTCTATTTCAAGGGTGACTGGATTATGAAATTTGAGGGAAAAGATACTGTAGAAAGAAAATTTTGGTTGAACAAGGTATTGACTATATTTCCTTAGTACAATGCAGTTTTATATAGAAAGTTAAATTTAAACATGTATGATAGGTATAACACTGTATATAAAAATGAAAATGTGTTATGAGTATTGTTTCACTATTTTATTCTTGGAAATTTACTTACATTGGAGTGCCTGAAGAAACTTACATTATGTCTACTTTGGTGTTTGCTGGATGCTTTCCTTTATTACAGGATACCAGCAAGACTGTGCAGATGATGGAACAAAGCAGCCATCTCAAATTTGCCTACCTGGAAGATGTACAGGCCAAGATGCTGGAAATGCCGTACAAAGGCAAGGCTCTGAGCATGGTTGTGCTGCTGCCAAATGAAGTTGATGGCCTGCAGCAGGTAAAACTTGCACCTACATTTCTGCTGCCTAGTGTCCACTTTGGTAAATGTTGCTACCAGAGCAAGCACCCTAGTGTCTGCTTTGTTTTCCTAAGTCACCAAGAAGACGAAAGCTTTTAGAGCAAGATGTCTTAAAACAATGAAAATGTCAAACACAAGGAATGATGATTTATCTTTTCATTAAAGATATTTTAGCACAGAGTCTGACAAGTACTGACAGTCAGTTACTCAATAATTAAATGTGTTATATGCATTAAATTTCAATTTAATAGTATTGAAGGGAAAAACTGTTTACTTGGTGTAGAGAAATAGTAATGTGGGAGATGGTTACAAATATCTCAAGCAAAAGTATTTAAACTCAGTGTGCAGTGTACTACAGTACTGGATAAATTATGAGTATCAGAAAATAAAGAATGTGTTTAATGACATATAAAACAGTTTGGTAGCATATAGAGAAATGATACATAGTTCATTTTGTACAACATATGGTAAGATAATGATTCGGCATTAAATACACCTTTATACAGGTGGGTCATAGCTACATTTTCAGGACTGTAATTTTGGCTCATTAGGGTATTATTTCATACACCATATCATCTGTATATTACATTTATTGCTAAAATAAAGATTTCCTTACATTCTATTCATTGGTGAAGTATGGACTCCAGTTAATCATATCAGTTTCAACTTTTCTATTTTTACAGCTTGAAGATAAACTCACTGTGGAGAAATTAATGGAGTGGACGAGCCTACAGAGTATGAAGAAGACAGACGTGAACCTGCACCTACCTAAGTTTACAATGGAAGAGAGCTACAATCTCGAATCCAAATTGATAAACATGGGAATGAAAAAAGCCTTCTCTCCACAGGATGCTGACCTTTCCAGCATGAGCAGAGACAAGGATTTAGTGGTATCTACAGTCACGCACAAGGCCTTTGTGAAGGTGCATGAAGAAGGGGCAGAAGCTGCAGCTGTTAGTGGCAGGGTGGCATCTGTAACTTTAGCAACAATACATAAAGATTTCCATTGTGATCATCCTTTCATATTTTTCATCAAACAAAATTCTAACAACAACATCCTGTTCTTTGGCAGAGTCTCTTCCCCTTAAACATCATTACTCTGTCATGCTTTAGGGGAAAGTTTGCAGAATTCTTTCAGTAAATTGATGGCTGCAAACAATAGGTTCTCTTGGCTCCTTTTCCTTTCCAGGCTATAGACACAGCTAAATATCTAGTGGTTGAAGTCATAAGATTTTCTGCTTCTCTTTCTATAGACATATATAAATTCGCTGCTTTCCTATAAACTTCTCATGAGAACTAAATGTTCAATGTTAAAATAAAAGCATATCGCAATTCAGTGTGCAGTGTACTACAGTACTGGATAAATTATGAGTATCAGAAAATAAAGAATGTGTTTAATGACATATAAAACAGTTTGGTAGCATATAGAGAAATGATACATAGTTCATTTTGTACAACATATGGTAAGATAATGATTCGGCATTAAATACACCTTTATACAGGTGGGTCATAGCTACATTTTCAGGACTGTAATTTTGGCTCATTAGGGTATTATTTCATACACCATATCATCTGTATATTACATTTATTGCTAAAATAAAGATTTCCTTACATTCTATTCATTGGTGAAGTATGGACTCCAGTTAATCATATCAGTTTCAACTTTTCTATTTTTACAGCTTGAAGATAAACTCACTGTGGAGAAATTAATGGAGTGGACGAGCCTACAGAGTATGAAGAAGACAGACGTGAATCTGCACCTACCTAAGTTTACAATGGAAGAGAGCTACAATCTCGAATCCAAATTGATAAACATGGGAATGAAAAAAGCCTTCTCTCCACAGGATGCTGACCTTTCCAGCATGAGCAGAGACAAGGATTTAGTGGTATCTACAGTCACGCACAAGGCCTTTGTGAAGGTGCATGAAGAAGGGGCAGAAGCTGCAGCTGTTAGTGGCAGGGTGGCATCTGTAACTTTAGCAACAATACATAAAGATTTCCATTGTGATCATCCTTTCATATTTTTCATCAAACAAAATTCTAACAACAACATCCTGTTCTTTGGCAGAGTCTCTTCCCCTTAAACATCATTACTCTGTCATGCTTTAGGGGAAAGTTTGCAGAATTCTTTCAGTAAATTGATGGCTGCAAACAATAGGTTCTCTTGGCTCCTTTTCCTTTCCAGGCTATAGACACAGCTAAATATCTAGTGGTTGAAGTCATAAGATTTTCTGCTTCTCTTTCTATAGACATATATAAATTCGCTGCTTTCCTATAAACTTCTCATGAGAACTAAATGTTCAATGTTAAAATAAAAGCATATCGCAATACTAGATATTCTGAATGTGGCATATGATTTTGTTTGTGACATGTTTTAAGTGAATAAAAAAAATCATATTTCTCTTCAAACTGATAAAACTCAACTACCATACTGATTTAAAATACAATGAACTCTGTTATATTTCTAAATTTTGTGGTTCTATAAAATACATTACCTGTGAATACATTATATAAATAAATTCATTGTTCTATAAAATACATTTTGTCATCACCAACAAAATAATGACCTATTCAAATATTGAATAAAAATTTCTCTATTCCATAAAATTCAAATGGCCAATCACACATGAGAGAGATGATAAGAATATATTCGCTGGGGATTTAGCTCAGTGGTGCCACTGCCTGCCCCACAAGCACAAGGTGCTGAGTTCGATCCCAGGTACCAAAAACAAAAAACAAAAAATAATATATCATCAGGAAGAAGTAAAAGGGTGGGTTAGAGACACGCAGAACCTCCCCGCTGCTCCAGAAGATGGAATCAAATCAAGGTGTGCAGCCCCATGTCCAGGTTGAGATTCCTAGGAAATTGTGGGAGTGCACCTGGAGAGAGTCGGTGCCCAGTTGAAAGGCAGAATATTAGTTTTTAGAAAAATAAGAGAACTAGAGCACACTGACCCAGAGTGCTCTGTTGCTTGGTGGTAGAGAGGAAGTGCCCCTTGGTGTGACTGTGGGTGGCAGGGTGTCTGTAATCTCCACGGTACGGAGTCTAGTGCGGAGCAGACAAGCAGTGTGAAGAAACAAGACTCTGGGATCTGCATAGGGAACTGGTGCTGGTAAAGGGTTTGTGGACCCTTCCCAGCTTATTCTTCTGGGCCTCCCAAGGGGAGCCATCTTAAGAAGGGTCCCATTCTCTGAACTAGCTGTTTAGAGGATCAGAAGCCACTGCATTTTTTATCTTCCCAAATCCCAACAGCTCTTCTCTTCACTGACCTAGAGGGAACGCACATGAGAAACGATAAAGTGTCACCCAAAGTAGTGACCAACACAAATCCTCTAAGAGCTGTAGGCAGGGGAAAGTGAAATCCGAGACGTGGGAAAAGAGGAAGGTGCTTCCATGTAAAACTGGTGACTCAACCTCGGAGACACACAGCAAGATAAGCTGTGAGTGGGTTCCTGAGGGACTGCATGAGGGAGCACATTGCCTGAGACAGGCAGGATTTGGTTCCCCTGACTCCTCACTAATCACAGATCCCTTGATGGGTGCCGTCAGAAGCACAGACATTCAAGTGATTCTGCCCTGGACGTGGACACTCGCCACGCTCCAAACCTCTTGGTCCTGGGACCAAGCCTGATGAGCCCATAGAAAGGCTACAGGCCCCATTCAGTGTACAATGATCTCTGTCCCTGGCGTTAAATACTGAGACCTGTGAAATGAATATAGCCCTGCTGCAGACATCTTCTCTTAACAGAGTGGTGAGCAAAAATCACTTGTGAGAAGGAGAGTTGTGTCTCAGCCTGTGTACTGCCTGCTTACTTTTGCCTGCCTGTCAGGAGCTAAAAAGGAACACACAGAGCATGAATGGCCTACAATCACTAATCCCTACAACACCTGGAATATTCAAAATGCCATCTTTGTGGGCTTGTCTTCCCTCATCCTTATTTTTTATATTTTAATCTATTACTGTTATTTAATATAAATAATATATAATATATTTAGTTTTATCATATTTTTCTCTTCTCTCTCCTCACTTTAATTTTTATGTCTCATAAAAAATATATTAATATTAATTTTACTTATGTCAGCGTTAACATTTTAGTCTATCCTACGTTATTTCTGCCCATTTCTCCTATATGGATATTTTGTTACAGATATGATGGCTGTGAATATGTTTTTAATGTTATGTTTATTTGCTTTTAAGTTGTTGTTACTGTTAGTTGTTTTCTCCTCTAAAACAGTATTGGGGATTGAACCCAGCCCTTCAGCGTTTTGCACTGGGGCTTTACCATGGACCTATAAGCTTAACTCAAATGAGAGAAATGGTACCTTAATACATACATGACTTATTCCTCCTGAAACTTAGGGTATAACCTCAATACTACAGGTGACAAAGGCCCTTAGCTGATGACTGAGCCCCAAATAAGCATAGATGGAGTGCCTGAAGATGAACTACTAGAGACTCACATCCCTAGCAGCAGCAGAGAAAATGAGCAGCTATTTTGGCATCCCAGGCAAGCATAGGTCACTCCTAAACCTTCCAGGCTATAGAGTGCTGAAAATTCTGGAGGAGTAATCACAGAGAGTACCCTTCAATATGCTGTACTTATCACATCTGCATGACCTAATGCAGGCCCCTCAATCACATGAGAACTACAGAAAATGAATCTCACAAAAAGAAAAAAAAAAGAAAATGAATCTCTCTGTTTTTGACAATACATAGAAACACAAATCCTACCAAGCATCTGGGCATAGTGGAGCAGGACTGTATTTTTTCCTAGAACTCTGAAAGGCTAAGATAGGAGAATCCTCAACTTGAGCACAGTCTGGGCAACTCAGTACTTAGCAAAACCATGTCGCCAAATAAAATAAAATAAATAAATAAATATGAAGAGCTGGGAATCCAGCTTAGTGAAAAGGTCCTGGGTTCAATCTTTAGTACTGAGCAGAAAAAAAAAAGTTTGAGGAAAAGCCAAATTACAGGAATAAACACTAGAGTTTCTGAGCTTAGGCTATCTCAAAATTTGAATGACAACAGAAATATAACTTGCTGGGGGAGTGTCTATCAAATACCGGCTGGTTATTTAGTTGGTTGGTGGTTACTTGGCTGGTTGGTTGCTTGATTGGTTGATTGATTGATTGATTTGTTGGTCAGTTGGTTGGTTTGGGGATCAGAGAATCTTTTGATTTGTCAAGGGAATGGCTCCAGTAGAGAAGAAGGCACATGTTTTTAAAAGTTGATAACTGTTTAAGTATGTTTCTTGAAAAAGTAGAAGGTAGGAATAACAAGAGAAAAAGGAAGAGTGATGAAACACTAAGTCTATAGTTTATTTTTTAGTTGAATTTGTTGGTACATTTTATACATAATGATAGCATTTCTCATAGGGAATTTGTGTGTGTACATGATATATCTTGACTTCATTTTCCACAATCCCTTCCCCTTCTTTCAACTCCTTCTCCCACTTGTAATTTACAACAGCTTTGTTTCCATTTTTTCTTTTTATTCTCCTATTTTTTCTTTTCCCTTTCTTCTGTTCCCCCTCCCCATCCCTTGCTCCATTTCTCATTTGAACATTTTCTTCCTACTTCACAATACCTATTATATATATAGTTTGATTCTTGTTTACCCTTTCAGTTGCTTCCACCAGAGAAATGACGCTATATTTAAATGTGTGTGTCCGATTTATTTCACTTAAAATCCTGGTCCCAAGGTACATCCATTTACCTAGAAATGTCTCAAGTTTGTCCTTCCTTGTGAGAGAAGAGTAATCTATTGTATTTTTTAAAAACACACATCTCTGTGCATTTATTGGTTGATGGGCATTTGGGCTATTTCCAAGATTTAGCTATTGCAAATTGAAAGTCTGTAGTTTAGAAAACATTAATAATTTAAAGAAGTTCCACATAATTCTTTTTCTTTAATAAAGTAGGATTCACATTAAAGTGGTAAACTTGTGAAATGCGTGGAGGCCATACTCTTGCGTGAAATTAAGAAGTCACACATGTAAATACCTAATAGTTTCTCTGCAAGTGTAAATAAGGATAAAAATGTATAATTGATATTGTGTAATAGGAAGAAAAGGTCGGAAAGTG